ACAATGACATTATGACTATCTAAGCCACAGGAGACCTGCTCGGCTGCTCTCAAGTTGCTTTGGATAGGAGTTTGGTCAGCTCTGGGGGGTGTATGTGTGAGAGAGAGGGAGAGCACTTTGCTGTGTGTGTGCTCGCGCAGTCTCTGGTGTGTGTGAGAGTGTGTGTATGTGTTTGAGAGAGCGGGGACGGAGAGCGCACTCTGCTGTGTGTGTGTGTGCGTGCACACACAGTCTCTGGTATGTGTGAGAGAGTGTGTGTGTGTGTTTGAGAGAGAGAGAGTGTGCATTCTGGGGGGGTGTATGTGAGAGCAAGAGGGAGAGAGAACTATGTGGGGGGATGAGGGAGAGGGAGAGGTGTGTGTATGTGTGTGTGTGTGTGTGTGTCCGTCCACCTCAGAGAGCCCCCATAAAGGAAGGGACTGTGAAATAAAATTCTCCAGTATCAGCACTGTAGAAATACCTTGAATAGTGGAGCTGGAAAACATACTTCAGACTGACCACCAGAGTCAACAAGGTAGCAAAACCCTCTTCAGTCTGTGTGAGCAGCCGGAGGAGTTAAAATGGGATCAGCTGGAGGAGGGGTGCTTTCTGCACCTCTGGGAACCGGCCCTATGGGGACTGGCAAAGGGGGGATTAATGGTTCAGCGCTGGCCAGATCACGATGGGGGTTCTGCTGCAGCAGCTGGGGGTGATGAGGTGCAGCTAGCCCTCAGGACCATCTTGCAAAGAGAGGCTTGTGCGCATTTCCATGTGAGGGCAAACAGCTCCAGCACCCGGCACTGCCTGTCCACTGGGGCTTGTTCCTGCACGAGAGCAGACCTCAGGCTCTCATGGAAGCAGGCCTGCAGTGGGACTCCCTCTCCTGAAGCAATACCGGGCAGGGCCTTTGTCTGGGAGAGAGCTGCCTTGCTGGCTTGCTGTGCTGTTGCAGGGAGATGGGAGCATTTCTCACCGGCTCCTGAGCCTTCTGTGCTCTGCTCTCGTGCTGCCAAGTGACTTGCCATGTGCTAGCCCAGTGTCACTGCTGTTTTCTGCCCCGCTGCACTACACAGGCGAGCAGCACTTTCTGGACCCTGGCGGTAGAACTCAAGTACTTGTACCGAGTCACTAGTTGGAGGGAGGGAAGCAGGCGCAGATTGTACTTGGTCAGTAGTGGGGGCAGTATTGCCAGTCCCAAGTCTTGAAAGATCATGAGTCGGGCTCACCCAAAATCATGAGCTTGTGTACAGATAACAGAGCTGGTGTTCTTTGTATTCGCTCCTGGTTGTAGAGCCCTCAAGGTGCACTGGGATCCCATTTTGAAGCTTTCTACACAGCAATGAAGGCTAGAAACTTGCTTTTTTTTACGATTGAGGCTGAAACCATCACAGATCCACATGGCTCTGGGAGCTGGGGCTTTAAGGAAAACAATAATGAACCCAGGACTAATGCCAGAACCACGAGAGCTGGCAGCGCTGGTGGGTGTCTGCAAGCTAGTGCCGGTTGCCCAGATGCAGAGCTTGCACTGGCGCAGCCCCCTCCAGCCAGTCCCCGTCCATGCTGTCTTTGCAACCCAGCTCCTAGGCCGGGAAGGACAATAAATAGCCCTTTGTACTGAGCTCTCTCGGGGGTCGGTACCTGCCTGCATGAGATGGCTGAAAACAGAGGCAGCATGAGCAAGAGCTTCCTGGGGAGTCAATTTCAGTTCCTCCAGCCTCAGTCTCCGTCTCCCATCTGGCATTAGGTTGTCAAGACCATCTCAAGCTGAATTTGGTTTAATGCTGGGGGAGCTGGAGGGCTGGGGCTCCAAGGGAAGGAAGCTGTTTGTGTTGGCAGCTCAGTTGGACTCTGGAGCCAAGATTCAATCAGTCCTGATGACTGACTTTATTTAAACCTGTCTCCTCCTCTCCTTGCCTGTTGCCGGGAGTGAAGGTGTTTATTGGGATGGGAGCAGCGTGTGCCAGGCCAGGGCTCCCTTATGACGATTTGCACATTGGTCTCCCCTGCCCCAACCATTATTTTTAATAAAGCCACAACACAAGGGGCCCTGCCTTAAGTACCCAGTGTTAACCCTGCAGCATCAGGCAGCAGCTGCAGTTAGCTTGAGTTGGGATGAATCAAGCCACTAGCTAAAGATTCCTAATTGCCATCACTGCCCATGCAAAAAGCAGAGGAGTTGGCCAGGTCCTGCTGTGTGCAGGACATGTCCTTTGTGGCCAGGCGGCTGACAACCTGCATATTCATCAGACAGAGAATTGTGAGAATCCAGCTCACCAAGGGCGTGTCTACACAGCAGGGCTTCACTTGAAATAAGCTACGCAAATTGAGCTCTGTCAATTGCGTAGCTTATTTTGAAACAGCTTATTTTGAAATTGGGCATGTCTACACAGCACTGATTTCGAAATAGAGCACTTTTCCTCTGACTTCCCTTACTCCTGTACAAAGAGGGTTACAGGAGTCGGAGTAAGAAGTCCTCCAGTCATCTCTGGCCATCTGAAGATGTGGGCTGTGCCCACGATCCCATCCACATGTTTTGTTAGTCTATAAAGTGCTACCAGACCATTTGATGGGTTTTTTAGTATTTTGACACTATGTCGAAGTAACAGCTGGCTGTATAGACGTGGACTATGCTATTTTGAAATAACGTTGCCATGTAGATATAGCCCAACAGAGGGAAGAAAGGAAATATTGCTTTTATGCTATATTTTCACATATGTCCATTGAGTTTATAACCTATCTAGGAACATCTGATTTGTTGGAGTGGCCAGCACTGTAACACGACAGCACTACATGTTCTATGTGTTGCTATCACAATGAATGACCAAACAGACATCTTTGCTGTGAACAGCAGAGTGTGTTAAACTGAAATTCTCCTCCCTGGTCAGCCCCTTTTTGTTCCTCTCATCTCCCTGTTTTCTGATCCCTGTTTCTGTACATTGGACACATTACTGTGCACGGGTGTGGGATGTGTCTTAGCCTAGTCCTGGATTTATGAGTTGTTTGAGTAGATTACATGTCACACCCCAGCATGGATCATTGACCCATACACATTGGTTACATTGAACAATGAAGAGGTCAGAGCTGTTGGGAACCGGATGCTTCCAAATACATTGGGGTTCTGTTAACCTGTTTTTTTTCTGTGTGCTGTGTTGCCTGGAGCAGAACAAACTCCTGCTAACTGTTCAGCAATAGCAAGAAGGGTATAAACTAGCAGTGATACAACTCAATCAATTTGTAAACAGGACATTTTCAGAGTCTCTGCATATTCATTATCTCTGGGATTACCGATGCCTCCTGGACCCTTCATCCAGCATAGACATCTGCAGTGCTTAGTATGGAGTTACAATTCGGAATCAGTAAAGAAACTGGGATTCATAATGAAGGAGATTGCAGCCCAATTTGTGTCTCAGAGCGTATAGTCGACTAAAAGCTGTTACTGTATTTTCCAGACCCATTGAAAATTGATCTGGGTCAATTTCTTTAGCTCCTTAAACATCCTGAATTCAGAAAATAAATGGAATGAAAATGTAGCTGAGGTTTCCAGCTCCATTACGCTCTTGTATGGTAATAGTATCGCACAGCAGGGCTCTTGGCAAGTGGGCTGGATTTGTCTGGCACACAAGCGCATAAATACCATAATTCCCGCTGCCAATGCAGTGGCTAGGAGCTTGGGGGTAATAGACAGATTCCGCTGCCTTTTCAGTATTGTCATCACCATCTCCTTCCTCCATTTGTGTCCGGACTAGCTGACAGAGCTGCTTTCCAGAACTCAGCATGAACCGCGCAGCAGAGCAGACTCCTCTATGGAGATGTCCGAGGGGCCTTCCTGTTAGAACCAAAGTCTGCCACCGTGTCTGCTTCTGCAGATACATTTCAGATGCAAAAAGAAAGGGGCACAAAACAATTAATCAGCTATCCGAGCCCTAATGTAAACCCCCAAACGATGGAAGGATGTTAGCAATTTTTGGCCATATGTGCTTTCCCCCCAAAACAGAAGAAGCAGAGCCAAATGGCACTAACGTGATTCTTTAATGTACAACACATTTTCATCATTTTCTTCATGTAAACTAAATTCCTCTGCATGGTCGTGGAGAGGGAACGTTACATTTTTATTCGGTCGCCATTAGCTCAGGAAAGCACGGAGCCCAGAGAGGGAAATCTTTTCCATTGAAGTCATATTGGATTCGCTCTCCTCTTACAGGAAGGTGCCTGCACCTTTGTTAGAGGAATGTGGGTTGCCCTTCTGCACGGCAGGTCCCCATTAGACATGCCTATTTCCAAGGAGGCTCAACTGCAAAAATTCACTATGTTTGGAAACTTGTTTCACAGACACCCCAGGGCCAGGAGCAACCAAAAAAAATGTATTTGAAAAGCTGAGTCGACCTTTTAATTGGCCCTTTCAGGAATCTCTCTTTGTGCTTGTAAAGTAAGGAAATAGCTTTGTTTATTCAACTAACGTTTTGCCAGCACATTGTACACAGTGCCAACTAAACACATCTCTCTTTCAAATAAAAAGCATGCAGCATGGCTTTAAGAAATAGCCTGCTTTGCTCTCTGTCTTGAAATAGGGACATACAAATCCCAACTCCTCACCCAGTCCTCCCTCTCTTGGTGGTCAGGGAGGATGCAAGAATAGCCATTGCAGCTGCTGGAAAAGTCATGGGGTCTAAAGGAACAGAATGGATATTTGCAGGGCTGATTCTTTTGGCTTCCTATGTCCTTAGATAGCTACAAACCCATCAGGGAGGTAACTGCTGCAGTGTCTCTTCCATGGACACAGGCTAAGCCAGGGACTAGTTGTTCTGTCATATTTGTGTGCATGGCACCTAGGAGCTGCGGTTATGGACCAGGACCTCTGTTCCTGTGCAGCAGAGCTTGCAGTCTAAGGAGAAAACAGGAGACAGTAGCTAGACACAGACACACAGTGTGTGGTCACTCTCTCCGTTCCCATGAGCTTTGCAGTCTCTGTTTCATTTTTGCAAACGGTGCTCAGGAGTTGTTTTCTCTCTCTTGTTTTCCAGCTTTCAAGATGAAAATAAAGGAAGTGAAAAAGGAGAATGGGGACAAAAAGATTGTTCCAAAGAAGAAGAAACCTCTGAAATTGGGAACAATCAAGAGAAAAGATCTCAAGAAGCTAGTACTTTATCTAAAGAATGGAGCAGACTGCCCTTGCCACCAGCTGGACAACCTTAGCAATCACTTCCTGATCATGGGGCGCAAAGTGAAGACCCAGTACCTTCTGATGGCAATTCACAAGTGGGATAAGAAAAACAAAGAATTCAAAAAGTTCATGAAGAAAATGAAAACTCTGGAGTGTCCAACGTTTCAGTCTCTTTTCAAATGATCCGGTGGCTAGAGGCTCTGCTGCTGGCCCAGAACTTGCACAGCCCTAGGACTCGGGGGTTCAAATGTTGCTTCTTCTGTAGTAGTGGATGTAGTACCTGAGTCAGTTTTGTTTCTTTGTATTTTTTTTGAGCTTCCTTTAAAGCTCCACCCCCAGTATCAGTATTTCCCTGTAAGTGAACGATTGAAAGCGCAATACATTCATACAGAACAGTCACTGTGGTCACTATTTACACCTGCAATGTCTGAGTAACCTGCTGCTGTAATGATATGCAAATCTATTTAAATAAGAAACTTAGATAACGAGAGTGAAAGGGGGGGGTGATACTAGATACTCTTATTGAATTTTTCTAAAGTGAAATAATTTTAGCTCAGGGCTGATTATTCCCTAAGTGGGATGTTTTCTGCAATTCTTACCGAAGGCCACTTCCATGAAGTACTATGTGTGGAGAAAGGCCTTTTAAAGCTCATAGGACATGAATGCTGCAGAAAATCCCACCCTGTCATCTGAGACCAGAATTTGCACGGTTGTCTTTGATGCAAAACTAATCATTCAAAACAATCATTAGTTGCTTTTTAAATTCTGTGGACTTGAATGCCATAGATTGGTGAAGATATAGGGGAAACAGGTGATGAATCTGGAGCTATTGGGAGGTGAAATCTTAAGGAAAACACAGGCTTAGTAGGTAATATAAGCCATGGAGCAGGAGATGAGGTTATTTTAAAACAACATATGCTTAAACTGTCTGTGGGACATGGAGGAAAGCCTGCCAAGTCCATACAAAGGTTTTTTCCATTGGCAGAGTAGCAGGCACCAAAAAGAGATTAGTTTTGCACCAGAGAAGGGGAGATGCTAAAGAGTTTTAACGATATGGGAATTTTCTTGCTGGCCTCTCTGGTTTTATTGCCTTCTCTCATCACTGCCTCCGCCATAGGAGAGTACCTTGTGCCTCTTGATGGCAGAAGCTGATAGTTTTAAACAAAGTTCAGCTATTTAAGCAGGCACCATCAGCTCAAATAGAAATTCAAGTCACATAGATTTAAATTCACCCTTGCCCCCCAGCACTTCTCGGAATTAGGCTGATTTCTACAAAGTGGATCTTGAGCCAAAAAGTCCAAGTTCAGAGATGGTTGGAGCCACAGAACTGAGCAATATGTTCTAGTATGTTGCACAATACAAAATATCCGATCCCTGAAAACTGTTAGCAGTGTCAGTTTCCCACACAAATCCTGTAGGGAAGCAAGTATGGAAGAATAATGTGCTTCTTGCATTTCTTTCTCCCTCCCTAACTATTCTGTACAGGATGTTAATTCCCTGGTAAAAGTCAGGTCAGTTACATAGTAAAGAACTGCTCTAGCAGACATTTGTGCCATTTTGCAGGACCAGATCCTAAAGAAGTATGTGATTTTAGAAGATATTTGCTTGGTTGGTACCAGGTAGGGGTTCTGCTATCAGACTGTGGGTCTAGTTACTGGGACAATATTGCTCTGCTTGGGACAGGCGCAGGGAGAAAAGCTATCAACTAGCAAAGTCACATTGTAGAAAAGCAATTTGTTACTGAAGTGACCTATTTAAAGCATAGCATAACTGTACGCTACTAGGTACTGTTTCAATCAGGTTACCAGCTCTCCCATCTTGTATTCTAGTCCTTTGAAAAGAGGAAAAATGCGATCTTTTTATCAGATTTGTGTGTAATATTTCAGTCAAGGTTTTTTGGACATTTTTGTGTAGATAGATAATAATTTTATTTTCCCTTTTGCCATACTGCTTGGTGAACTGTCAGTGATTCTGAGACTATATGGATCTAGCTTTTAGATTTGATTGGTCATCAGTCAGACTTTTTAGTTCTGTTTTATGCATGTGCAGTTTTTGATAAAATTAAGAGCACTCAAGAAAATGAGACTGATGTAACATCCCATTCTTTGTGGGAAGTTAAAAGATCTTTACCTTTTGTCTTTAGAGAGTTAATTTAGGGAAGTGTGGCAGATTTGGGGGGGGGGTTGTTTGTAAATAGAGATTTTGAAAGAGGAAGTGAAATATAAAAGGTTAGTAAGAATTGGAACTGAAAAGGGCTACCTTGTAAGGGCTGTGAAACTGAGTACAAGGCTTTTGTATTGTTTCTGAATGCAGCCTGATTCTCTACGTCTATGAATGTTATTACAGCTTTTAAAAAACAAAAAGGATATTGCAGCCACTAATATGAAGGCTAACACAGCCCCACATTCAGGAACAGAAATAGAGACCTGAAAGCACACCCTAAATGTTTCAGTATTGTTGGAACAATAACAGGCTTTTACCTAGTCCTGTCAAATGAAGCCACGGATGATGAGAGAGTTTTTATGTTACAGGAATTTAGCTGCCATAGTTGCTATAACGCCAGTTTGCTAGATAACGTTACGGCGTTTCCATGTAATCATAAAATAAATCTGCCAGGGAAAGCAAGGGTTCAGTGAGAGACATGATCTGAAAATATTAGAACTGGCACCAAAGGAAAACCCTCAGTGATGGATTGATGATTTCCTGAGAAAACAGTCTGGTTTTTGTAATGTACTTCATTGCATAGTTCTAATAGGCACTTCTTGAATTCCTTCTCAGAGGAGCAGATATATGGAATGGCCTCCATTTTAAATGATTCCTACACTGACGGGGCAGATGCATTTGAATTTTCAGATGACGATGTCTTCCTAGAAAAGTTCCAGTAAGTTTCCTACTCTTGAAGGTCAGAACCCAGTTCTTGTCTCTTGTTCAGGAATCAGCATCTAATAGCTGTTGATATATTTAGTTCCACAAACATTAACTGAATAGCTATTTTAATTATCTACATATTTTGTTAGTCTTTAAAGTGCTACCAGACTATTTGTTGTTCTTTAAGTTTTTCCTATTACAAACTAACTCAGCTACCCCTCTGAAACTTATATACATTCAGCAACTGATGTATCCTAATGGACTGGAAGTGCCTATCTTTCATGCAGTAAGGGTGAAACAGCCCAGTGCAGGGTTGTGCACAAGGTAATGTGCACCACTTAAACAGCTCGTTAGCCCACATCACAGATGCTCCAGGCCTGACATTAAGTATCCCGGTGTCTCCTAAGTCACTGGGTTTTGTCTCAGGCCCTCTCTGAGAAGCTTGACTCTTCTCTAAAACTAGTATCTGCTTCTGCTTTCTCCTGAGATGTGTATAAAAGCTTAGGATACTGTGAACATGTTTGACATTCCTTTTTTATCAGCATTTTATTCATGTTGCATTATTTTACCTGCTGTTTTGATGTTATGACTTATGTTTGATAGTAAGTCCAATATCTGTTCATTATTCTTGCGTATGCTTTCCTTGTTTTCCCATCCATGTATCAATATTCACTTAACTAAAATTGCTGAATTAATCAATTACAATGTGATTTCCCCTCCTCCCCCTTTTTTATAAAGAGATGTTGTTTTCTAACCCTTGTTTAGTGCCTTTCAAATGGTCGTGGCAGTTCGATGGGTTAAATCTTGGCACTTGGGGATAATCTGCAGCAAAACCCAATATATATTTACACATTCTGCAAACTTCCAGAGAGAGAGTATTGGAGAGTTTTATATTGTTAGAACCTGATGCTGCATTACTCACGCTCCCAAAACATCTACTGAAAACTGGTATTTGGAAGTTGGGTGATACAAAAGTAATGTCAGATCAAGCGTAGAGGACGATCCTTGTTAATTCCTAGAATCATAGAATCCTAGAGCTGCAAGAGACCTCAGGAGGTCATTGAGTCCAAGCCCCTGCCCAAAGCAGAACCAACCCAACTAAACCATCCCAGCTAGGGCTTTGAAACCTCTAGGGATGGAGATTCCACCACCTCCCTAGGGAACCCATCCCAGTGCTTCCCCACCCTCCTAGGGAAATAGTTTTTCCTTAATATCCAAATTAGACCTCCCCCACTGTAACTTGAGACCATTGCTCCTCGTTCTGTCATCTGTCACCACTGAGAACAGTTTCTCTCCAGCCTCTTGAATGAATACTCCAGATGTGGCCTCACCAGAGCCGAATAAAGGGGAGTAATCACTTCTCTGGATCTGCTGGCAATGCTCCTTCTAATGCAGCATAATGTGTCATTAGTCTTCTTGGCTACAAGGGCACTGTGTTGACTCATATCCAGCGTCTCATCCACTGTAATCCCTGGGTCTTTTTCTGCCGAACTGCTGCCTAGGCAGTTGGTCCCCAGCCTGTAGCAGTGTTTGGGATTCTTCTGTCCCAAGTGCTGGACTCTGCATTTCTCCTTGTTGAAACTCATCAGATTTCTTTTGGCCCAATCCTCCATTTTGTCTAGGTCACTGGGGAGCCCATCTCTACCCCTCAACGTATCTACCTATCCCCCTAGCTTAGTGCCATCTGCAAACTTGCTGACGGTACAATCCATCCAGATCATTAATAAAGATGTTGAACAAAACCAGCTCCAGAACTGACCCCTGGGGCACTGCTCTTGACATCGACTGCTAACCAGACATCGAGCCATTAATCACTGTCTGTTGAGCCCGACAATCTAGCCAGCTGTCTAGCCACCTTTCATTCCACCATTTATCCAACCCATACTTCCTTAACTTGCTGGCGAGAATATTGTGGGAGACCGTATGCAAAGGCTTGCTAAAGTCATGAGATATCACATCCAGTGCCTTCCCCATAGTCACAGAACAGGTTACGTCGTCACAGAAGGCAATCAGGATGGTCAGGCACGACTTGCCCTTGGCGAATCCATGTTGACTATTCCTGACCACTATCCTCTCTTCCAAGCGCTTCAGAATGGATTCCTTGAGAATCCCCGCCATGGTTTTCCTGGGGACTGAGGTGAGGCTACGGGTTTGTAGTTCCTTATGATTCTCTGTTGTGTTCACTCCGTTTGGGGCACCTGGCATTGGCACTGTCGGAACAGAGCTCTGGGCTAGATGGACTGACCTCGTATGGCCATTCTTACGTTCTTAAAGGAACACTGCACACGGGCTTCCCCTGGATGAGCTTCTTCCACACACACTCCCCAGCTGGCTGGTGTTGGCTTCCCAGTGCTGCTCAGCCTCTGGCTCCTTTCACTTGTAAGGTGCATCTTCTCCCTGCAGCCTGTGTTGTTGAAACCGAGCCACTGTCACATGGTCAACTTTGCCCTAGCACCGTGCCCTGGCCACTCACTGCTGACAGAGGAGGGAACCAGAATCCCATGGGGACAAAGACACGGGCAAGGGGGAGGCTTGTCAAGGGAGTTCTGCCGGGTGACGGATTGCTTAGCAGGTGTATCCAGGACCAGCTGGCTAACAGGGTGACATCTGCGGGGCATTCCAGCTCACTGAATGGAATAGCTGAGGCTGGAGGTTCACATGGAAGGCACTTCAAGAAGTTCTGTCCTGAATGGAGCTGGCCACAGTGTTGTGGATGAAAAGAGCTTTCACTGAATGGAACAAGAGCCTTTCCTAAAGTGTTTCAGGGGGTAGCCGAGTTAGTCTGTTACAGAAAAAAACAGCAAGCAAATGGTCTGGTAGCACTTTATAGACTAACAAAACATGCAGATGGGCTCATGAGCTTTTGTGGGCACAACCCACTTCTTGGCTGTGCCCACGAAAGCTCAAGATCCCATCTACATATTTTGTTAGTCTATAAAGTGCTACCAGACCATTTGCTTGCTGTTTTTTTCCTAAAGTGTGTGTGACACACATAGGGTATGTCTACACTACCCCACTAGTTCGAACTAGGCATACCGCACTTGCAAATGAAGCCCGGGATTTGAATTTCCCGGGCTTCATTTGCATAAGCGGGGCGCCGCCATTTTTAAAACCCCGCTCGTTCGAACCCCGTGCAGTGCGGCTACACGGGGCACGAACTAGGTAGTTCGAACTAGGAGGGTAGTGTAGACATACCCATAGAGAGAAGTAATTGACATTGCCAACCTTTTTCTTTTTGTTGCCCCATATTTCATGCCTTTTTAATCCTCCCCTCCCAACTGTTAGCGAAAACAGTCTTACACTGCCTCCATTTACCAAGAACTATGGTTTGGGCAAAATCATTCAATCCATACAATTCTGGTTTTGAAAAAGAAAATGGAAAGAAACCTCCCAACAAACACAGCAACACTGAAAACTGGGTAGGGTGGAACCCTTCAGTTTGAAAACAGCTTTGCCATTTTTATTGCAAAGATGGGTTCCCTTTTTCCAACATCTCTCTAGTCCAAGCTGCCACCATCCCTTCTCTGAGCACCTGTGACTAGCACAATGGACTGGGATTCTGGAGACTGAGTCTCTGATTGGCCACTGGCCTGCAAGGTGACCCTGGGGATGACACATCCCTGCCTCAGTTTCCCATACGTGTCATGGGAATAATGATATTGCCTTCCTTTGGAAGCATTTTGAGAGCTGCTGGTGAAATCCAGTCTGTAAGAGCTGAGTATTATTGCCATTCAAGCTGTGGTACATCCCATATTTCCACATCTGTATTAAAGTACAGAGCCCGGTTGTCCCGCTACATGGCGGGGGGTCCCAGAGGTGCCCTAGGAAAGCAGATGTTCAACATATGGCAGGAAGCAGATTTCCAGGCATGCACCCCAGCAAGCAGAAGTTCTTACCCCTGATGGAGCCAGGGTCAGGGTCTCTTTTTCCTGGAACCCAGTCAGAGGGTGGCACCTACTGCACCACAACACTGGAGCTCTTCATATGCTCTCTTGTCCTTTGCACCTGGCTGCTCTGGGTGGCTCAGGAGGATAAATCACAAGGGATTGTCCTTCTCAGGGAGCTGCTTGGACATCCTGCTTCTAGCTGTGCTGCAAGTTCGATGTGACTGTTTAGGAGGCCTGGAGGCCACTGGTCTGCAGGAGCAATATGCTCTGGCTCTCCCCTGCAGTGCAGGACGCAGGCTCACGCGAGTAGAGGGGAAGGAGCGCTGGAGGTTGCATCCCCCACTGCTGCACTGCTTGGCTTCCCCCCACCTTGGAGCACTGTCCTTGTACTCACTGCAGTGGGGCGCTCAGTGTGACGGAATCTACGCCTGCCAAGTCGTGGCCATTCCTGGTAGCCCCTCTCTCAGCATGGGGTCATCACAGAGTCCTGGAGCTCAAATCAGGGGTCCCACACTCATGGCACGGAGTCCACAGGGCCTATGGAAATGCCTTGTGCTCCCGCGGCTGGTCCTGCCCAAGCAGCTTAGTGAATCAAAGCCAAACAAGCAAACGCAGCCCCGAGAGGGCTAGTGTCGGAGGTGACACGGTTTAAAACAAAACAGCAAAGCATCCCTGTGCTTGAATGTCACCTCTGCCTTCCAAGGAAGGAAGACCAAGGACAGGGTAGGCCCACTGCTTAGTGAGGAGGGAGAAGCAGTAACAGGAAACTTGGAAATGGCAGAGATGCTCAATGACTTCTTTGTTTCGGTCTTCACCGAGAAGTCTGGAGGTGTGCCTAACGTAGTGAATACAAGCAGAGAGAGGGTAAGTTTAGAAGATAGGATACACAAAGAACAAGTTAAAAATCACTTAGGAAAGTTAGATGTCAGCAAGTCACCAGGTCCTGATGAAATGCATCCCAGGATACTCAAGGAGCTGATAGAGGAGGTATCTGAGCCTTTAGCTATGATCTTTGAAAAATCATGGCAGACAGGGGAGATTCCAGAGGACTGGAAAAGGGCAAATATTGTGCCCATCTATAAAAAGGGGAATAAGAACAACCCAGGAAACTACAGACCGGTCAGTTTAACGTCTGTCCCAGGGAAGATAATGGAGCAGGTAATTAAGGAAATCGTATGCAAACACTTGGAAGGTAATAAAGTGATAGGGAATAGCCAGCATGGGTTTGTGAAGAACAAGTCATGCCAAACTAATCTGATAGCTTTCTTTGATAGGATAACGAGCCTTGTGGATAAGGGAGAAGCGGTGGATGTCATATACCTAGACTTTAGTAAGGCATTTGATACGGTCTCACATGATATTCTTCTTGATAAACTAGGCAAATATAACTTAGATAGGGCCACGATAAGGTGGGTGCATAATTGGCTGGATAACCGTAGTCAGAGAGTTGTTGTTAACGGTGCTAAATCCTGCTGGAAAGGGATAACAAGTGGAGTTCCTCAAGGGTCTGTTTTGGGACCCGTACTGTTCAATATCTTCATCAATGATGTAGATATTGGGATAGAGAGTACTCTTATTAAGTTTGCAGATGATACCAAACTGGATGGGGTTGCAACTTCTTTGGAGGATAGGGACATAATTCAAAATGACCGTAGCAAGTTAGAGAAATGGTCAGAGGTAAACAGGATGAGGTTTAATAAAGAGAAATGCAAAGTGCTCCACTTAGGAAGGAACAATCAGTTCCATACATACAAGATGGGAAGCGACTGTCTAGGAAGGAGCATGGCGGAAAGGGATCTAGGGGTCATAGTGGACCACAAGTTGAATATGAGTCAACGGTGTGATGCTGTTGCAAAAAAATCAAATATGATTCTAGGTTGTATCAACAGGTGTGTTGTAAGCAAAACTCGTGAAGTCATTCTGCCGCTCTACTCTGCACTAGTTAGGCCTCAGCTGGAGTACTGTGTCCAGTTCTGGGCGCCACATTTCAAGAAAGATGTGGAGAAATTGGAAAGGGTACAGAGAAGAGCGACAAGAATGATTAAAGGTCTAGAGAACATGACCTATGAAGCCAGGCTTCATGAACTGGGCTTGTTTAGTTTGGAAAAAAGAAGATTAAGGGGGGGCATGATAGCGGTTTTCAAATATCTAAAAGGGTGTCACAAGGAGGAAGGAGAAAATTTGTTCCTCTTGGTTTCTGAGGACAGGACAAGGAGTAATGGGCTTAAAGTGCAGCAGGGGAGTTTTAGATTGGACATTAGGAAAAAATTCCTAACTGTCAGGGTGGTCAAATATTGGAATAAATTGCCAAGGGAGGTGGTGGAATCTCCCTCTCTGGAGATATTTAAGAACAGGTTAGATAGATATCTGTCAGGGATGGTGTAGATGGAGCTTGGTCCTGCCTTGAGGGCGGGGGGCTGGACTCGATGACCTCTCGAGGTCCCTTCCAGTCCTATTATTCTATGATTCTATGATTCCACAGGCCGCAGACACCCGTCTTTGTGCACATGGGACAATGACAGAGCCCTGGAGAGCCCTGCCCCCTCGCGCTCAGCTGTGCCACCTGGATCACAATGACTGAGCTCAGGGAAGCTGGTGGAATTGGTGCCTGGGTGTTTGTAATGTACCCACAAGACTAGACTCATTAGAGGACAGGCCCCACATGTCCTGCTGCTGAGCCAGAACCTGTTATCCCTGAGCTCTGGTGGGTGGATAAAACAGGACCCCGCCACCTGGGAATCAAACTTCCCCAGGATTTGGGTTTGCAAAGCCCAGACCTGTTGGCCTTGCTCCAGTTCTGCACTGCCTGTTCGTCGCACTGCCAGATGGTGGAGGGCAGCCGTCAATCCTTTCTAGAACGTTGTGGACCAACGGCACATTCTCAGGCACAGCTCTGCCAGAGGGAGGGCCTCGGAACAGGAGTCTCCTGGTTTTCCCTGTGAGGTCACCCTGGGAGCTGAGGGTCTTCAACTCCCTCCAGGTCCTCACTGCTTCAATGTGTGTGGTTGCAGTAATACTGCAGCCCCCTGGCCCAGTGGAGGGGGCCCTAGGCTGGAAGTCAGGAGATGTGCGTTCCCTTCCCTGCTCTGCTCTTAGCCTCTCTGTGCTGTCCGCACTGGCAGCCTATTCTGCCCCTAACCATCCCAGCCCAGCATTTTCTCCCTCCTGCTAGCCTCGGGACCTGCTTTCCACCAGTCGGAAAAGGGGCTGCTGCTAAGCAAGGTAGCCCGCCTGCGTTTGTATTTTGTGATTTGTTTCATGGCAGGAAACAGCACGCTGCAGAGTAACACACATAAAATCAGGATGGTTATCGGCCCCCAGGCTGAGCGAGATAAAGCCCAAACTGCATCAGCAGCCTGCACATTCTTTGCAAGAGGTAAAATGATCAGTGTCCTAATTAGCTGCAATTGTTTCATAGTCACTGATGTGTTCTTGTAATTATGACTCGCTTGTGGCACATTCGTCTTGGTGCAATTGCTTACAAAGTTATCAGTATCTCTTTTTGTGCTGGTTCTTGTACACACCTTTCTCTTCCGTGCAGATTGCTGTGTTTCCGTTAGGAGGTGTTACGAGACGATTCCCTTCAGTGATATTTATGTGGGCAGCCTTGGTTTTTCCATAGGAATTCAGCATCAAGTATAGGAACTTTTAGCTACTCATGTAAGTATTAGAGTATCAGAACCATCAGGTAGGCTTGGCCAATGGCCACTAGCTAAAGACGGCGGCATCACACAATTACAGACAAGGCTGGGCAGGGGTAGGAGGACGGAGCAGTGAAGTGACGGTGTTCAGCAGCCTGCAATACAGAACCTGTGCTTAATGCTTCGGGATATTTTGCACCCTCTCACACTCTGGGGAGAAGTGCCCTTAAAATAGTCACTGTTTCTAGGGCGTGTTTAGAGCCTGGGAGGCGGACAGACCTCTCCCCACCAGCTACTAGGAGGGAGACTCCCGTAAGAAGAGACTGGCTTGCTGACCCCTCTGAACTTGGGCTGAAGGAGCAGTGAACTGAGGTCCTGCAGCTGTTCCATGGACGAGATTTGGGTCACTCCTGTCTCCAAGAGACTGGCCGAACCCCAGCCCCAGGAGAAGTCCTGTGGAGTCCGGAAGGTCTGCGTGGGAAGCAGCCTAGTGACTGCAGGAGAGGCTGGCAGCAGCTTTTCAGAAATTCCCCCAAGCCAGCTGGGAAGAGGCTGCAATGAGCCAGATTCCATGGTGGGAATAGGGGCTTTCCCAGAGCAGGGAAGATTCTGACAACAAGGAAAGGGAGAAGCAGAACCACAGTGGAGAAAAACCTGACAATGCCACATGGAGCACCAGGGGTGCCCTGCCTGGTGAGTCACTTTGCCACAAATATGTTACATCTCATTTGTTTTGTGGCTGCCAGGGGATAAACACGCTGCAGAACGGGATACTTGGAGCTGTTAACATTAGCCACAAGATTCCTATACAAATTCCTTCCCTTTCTCTGCAGAAAGACCCCTCGGTGGTTTTATTTAGTGCACCACGAAATACATGCGCATTCCAACAATGGTCTCTCATGCCACCACATTCTTCCTCCTCTCACTGAGTTCTTTGGGTTTCCGAATATTCTCATGAGGACAGTGGAGGACAGAAAGCAACTAGCCCTTCTGGTAGTAAAGAGTATCACTTGGAAAATTCTATGCCAGTGAATTTCCTGGAGACAGTGGATGTCCTTGTTTTGTCTCAGTAATGAAAACAGGCATCTTTCCAATAAAAATGCTCCCGCATTCTCCACCCAATCAATCCAGACTTTGGCTCTTAGGCCATTTTGATTAAGCTGAATATTTCCCCATCATGAAGGAGAAATGGACAATTGCTCCGAAGGCATTGCAGATGGCAATGGCTCACAGGTGGTGCACATCAGATGTGCAACCCTCGTGTTATCCCTGAAGTCAGAGAAAGCTGCTTATAGAGCATTTCTGGCAAGAAAGCCTGGAACTGACACTATATCAAAATGATGGCAAGTTAAAGCCAGGGTCTAGGATTCCTGGCCTACAGCTTTGAGAAGCTTTGAAGTTTTATCTTATCTCTGCTCATAGAACAATTAAGAGTTGGCATCTGGGATTGCTTAAATATGGGGATTTTAATAGTTTATCTCATGGTCTGCAACTAAGATTTTCAGCGTTCCATCTTCTGAACCTGCCACTTAAAGTAGAAGTTACCAAATAAGGGCATGGCGTGTCAGTGAAATGAATGGGGAGCAGGTTTAAAACTAATAAGCAAAAGTTCTTCTTCATACAGTGCATAGTCAATCTGTGGAACTCCTTGCCAGAGGAGGCTGTGAAGGCTAGAACTATAACAGAGTTTAAAGAAAAGCTAGAAAAATTCATGGAGGTTAGGTCCATAAATGGCTATTAGGCAGGGGGTAGGAATGGTGTTCCTGGCCTCTGTTTGCAAGAGTCTGGAGTTGGATGGCACGAGACAAATCGCTTGATCATTGTCTTCGGTCCACCCCCTCCGGGGCACCTGGTGCTGGCCACTGTCGGCAGACAGGCTACTGGGCTAGTTGGACCTTTGGTCTGTCCCAGTATGGCCATTCTTATGTTCTTATGTTCTTAGTGATCCTCAGGTAAGTTTGCAGAGCTGTCTGAGACAAGGGAATAGTGTGCCCCCTTTGTCCCTGACAGTTTTGAAACTCAGAATATGTTGACCAGCTTTCACCTGGTGGGATGTGGCAAGAGGTGTAGAGTCTTAAGTTAGTGTATGAGAGGTGTAGAGTCTTAAATCCACTAGGGGAGTGGATTAAAATAGCCAAACCGAGAGCCCATGCTGTGCCCTATTGGTAGAGACTGGGTGTAAGAAAAGTTACTGAAATGTGAAACCCGCAGTGAATGTAAATGAGGGGGAAATGCGCTGTGAGAAAAAGTGGCATGTTGGGAGTCAAACAAATAGACGCACTGACATTTGACAGCATGAGAAACTGTTAAATCAGAAAATCTGTTGGGCCCTGGGAAACTGGAACGGACTGAAGTACCAGATCATATGGAACTCTCTTGCGTATTTTTTCATTTGAATTGTAATCTCAGGTTTAAATCCTAATAGTTAAAATAAAATCCATTTAAAAGCTTGTGTCTGCACATATGCTTGGTTTGAAGTAAGGCCTTGTGCTGGGAGAAAGCTTTCCTTTCCTTGTTGGCATGGAGTCATGTCAAGGACAAGAATATACTGTTTTCATGAGGTAGTCTCCTTGTTTTGCATCATTTACATACTCTCATGAGCCTGATGTGCAAACATCATGGACAGTTAAATCTCACCGTGCACATGTCAAGTGACCATGGGTGCAGTTTGCTTAGTCTGGACAGTCTCTGTCCATATCTGTGTTTCCAGGGAGCTTAGCAAAATGTCTCCCAAGGTTCTAGAAATGTAGCCGTGTTAGTCTGGGGTAGTTGAAGCAAAATGCAGGACAATGTAGCACTTTAAAGACTAACAAGATGGTTTATTAGATGATGAGCTTTCGTGGGCCAGACCCACTTCCTCAGATCAAATAGTGGAAGAAAGTAGTCACAACCATATATACCAAAGGATACAATTAAAAAAAAGAACAAATATGAAAAGGACAAATTCTGGTTCTTTGCAAAGCATTTAAGCCCTAGCTTGAATCCCACTGAGATCAATGAGACTCTGATACATGCTTACTGTTAAGCATGAGCTTAAATTCTTTGCTGAATAGGAGTCTAAATTAGTCCCCTGCTTAGCTGGTTACACGCACAGCAGGAGCACAGAACAGTCAGAGTGCAAGGAAATTGTATTAACTGGAAGTGGATTGATCTTGCTGTGGGACTTTGTCCAGAACACATGAACGGTGTGAAGGCTGTAAACATGCCTGAAGTGGTGCATCGGCCTCTTGTGTCAGCTCCTGTGTGTTGGGATGGATTGTGTCCCATGTGCACGAACATATCGTGGTCAGGAGCTGCTTGATACACAGTCTGCAGGCGATTTGGATTGAAAACCAATTCTCTGGGCTGCCAATCCCACTGCACTGGTCTCGGGATCTCTGGATGCTGCTTCCTGACTGGCCATGGGGGGATGGCAGGATCTTCCAGAGGCAACGACTAGGACGCAGCCTAGCACAGAGTCGGGGGCTGGCTTCTGGAGCTCAGCTCACCTGGTGGGGGTGCTGGGAGAGGTATGGCTCCTTGGCGCAGCCTCACGGTGGATGCCTGGCCTGCTAGCTGGGACACACAGGGATGGAGACTGGCCATGTTGGAGAAAATCCCCATTGAGTATTTCGTTTCTGTTGAGCAGAAGGCACTCGAGCGACTTGGTGGCGTGTAGCCAGGCAGGGAAGCCAGGAGCTGTAAGGCCTTCTGATGATGCAAGCTCAGCCATTGGGCAAGTCCCCGGGGGCACAGTGAAAGTGACTTTCTTTTGTCCTGCAGCCCGACAGAGAGTCCTGCAGAATGCTGTAAATGACACTGGAAGGGAGAAGGAGCAATCTTCAGCGCAGGCTGGAGTCTGGTCCCGTTTTAAAGGTCAGGGCTCCCACTATTTCAATGGGAAACTGAGCTTCAGGCTTTATAGGCTCCTCACATTCCTCAGCAGTGGCCTGGGGCTGGAGCAGAGACAGTTTGCACCATCCGGCCTGCAAAGCCAGGCATGGCTTAGATGAGGGTCACAGCGGCTGAATGATGGACAGCGCGACCTTTCAGGCTTGTGAGCTGCCTGCCATTTTGATCTTCTCGGCATGACTTATGGCACATAATAAAGTACATCACTTTGTGACTCAGTTGATCCTCCCCAATGCTGTTTAATTTTTTTGTTTCCTCCAGCATTCCTTCTGCTACATCTCATCTGCTAATTGAGTTTCTGGCCTTCAGTCTGCAGCGGACTTATAAACAAACAACATTTCCTTTCATGCTAGACAAAAGTCGTCTTCCAGCCCTCGCTTAATTTTCCACATCGCTGGCGATTTGCATTCTGCCTTGACCCCGTCTGGGAAATCTGGGGACTGGAAGGAGCAGGCGAATCAAGGGGAAAGTTTTTCTGCTGCGGCGTGGAGAACGCCAGCCCGCCAGCGACTGGGTCTTTTGGCACTGTCAGGACATACAGCTGCCGGGGAAGTCAGCAAATATTTTGCAGGACAAGGAGCAATAACAGAGCTGTCGTCCTTGACCCTGCTCCCCGGGGCCTGTAGTCAGTGGAACTCCTGGCACCGCCAAGAGGAGAAAGTCAGGAGTGCATTGGGCGTAGGGCATGGAGGAGTGCAAGAGGGACTGTGGTTTGCCTTGGGCGGCTTGGGAAGGGGGGATTCAGCACAGAGAGGGCAAGGCCCTGCCTCTTCCCTTTCTAGACATACCAGCCCCAAGATCTGCATTCTGGGAACATGCATATTTCCTCTGAAGCCTTGGCCCC